ACAAAAAGAGGCAGAGGTAGGCCGAAGCTTACTTGGGGGAAAGTAGTAAAACAAGATTTAATGGAGTGGGATATAGATTGGCGGACAGTATGTCTTAGAACGGAATGGAGAAAAGCTATAAGTATGGTGGAGGGTTAGACCCGCTGTTATTCCTATGTTCCAGATGGTCCCTTTTTAGTCCTTTTTCCCTTCATTTGCCCCACTTCTTCTTGTCCCTTTCTTTTTTACTTTTATTTATTTATATATACATATATTGTTATTTTATTTTATCTTATTTTATATTTTTATTTTATTTGTTTATTTTTATTTATTTATTTATTTATTTTTATTTTATTTTTTTATTTTTTATTTTTCTTTATTTTATTTATTTTATTTTTTATTTTTATTTATTTTTCTTTTTTTTATTTTTTTATTTTTTATTTTTTAACTTTTTTTCAACCGTTTTGTATCTTTCATGTGGGTTCATCTACCACCGACCCCAATTAATTTGGGATAAAGGTGTTGTTGATGTTGATTCATTGCAATACGTAATGAGACCAGAATTTGCACGAAGAATAGATTTGGCTAACAAATCCGCACATACATTGGCACCACGAGGAGTGTATTCAAAGCAAATGTATTCCTAAAATTTTACTAAAAATAAAAGGTTATTTCAAAAATAAGAAATTTCAAATCTGAGTTGTTAATATCTTCATAAAATCTTGTAATTATCTTAAAAACTTAATTAACTTTTGTAAAATAAAATATTCAATAATTTCCTAAATTTATTTTAAATTTATATTGAGATATAATAACAAGCACTTTAATTAAAAAATAACACTTATTTAGGATATTATCATGAGAATAGTATTTCTCCTATTATCTTGTGATCATTTTGGGGTGAAAAAACAAAATATCATAACATATTAATATAGAAAGACTAATTAATATAGTTTCAAAATGAAATAAAAAAAATCAACCCTAAAATAATCATTTTGGGATCACCGAGAAAAATATAACGTATTATTAGGAGTAACACTTAGAGTCTGTTTGGATGAATTTTTCTTTCTTTCCAAAAGCTGTTGTTTTTAGAGAAAAAAAGTATTTCTCAAAAAAAATCTATTTGAATGTCTGCTTTTAAAAAAAGCATAAGTCATAACAAAAGTCAAAAATCTGCTTTTTTATAAGCTAAAAATTATAACTTTTAAAAAAAGCAGAAGTGAAAAGCTAAATATGTTTTCCAAAAATCAAATATTTTTTAAAATATTTAGATAGTTTAACTTTTGTAAAAAATACTTTTAAAATAAGCAAAATATAAAAAATACTTTTTTGGGAAGGCAATCTCTTAATCCTATTATCATACACTCCTTCAAAAGCTACGAACACCCCGTAGTAGTTCGAGTGACAAAGGATTTAAACAAGGGATTGAATTTGAGTCTTGTAAGCGGTACAGGCCTGAAGAAAAATTTAACACAAATCGAATCCATCGTATACAACTCAAATTAATTGGGCCCAAAATAAATCCATAAACAAAAACATAAACTCGATACCATATCTTAATCTCAAAGCTTAAGATTTATGGTCTTTCTATTTATATGATTGTTGAGATATATAGTCCCACGTTGATTGGATGAGCAACTATAATATGGCTTTTATAAGACCTTGAACACTCTCACCTCTTGAGATAGCTTTTGGGATGGTGTATCACAAGGTTCTTTAGATGACCTAAACTTTACTATTCATACTTGGATAGCAAAAGATATCTTTGTCTATACTCTATAGTATTCGATCTCAAACAATTCTCTATTTAGCCAGTTACTATTACAGCCAGCATCCTGTGAAAATGCATTTTTCCAATTCACTGATGTAATACGACCATAGCAGTTAATCAGATATTGATCAATCCAAACTTCCAAGCCATCCTCAGAGAATTGGATCCCCTTTGAACAGCTCGGCAAGGAAATCCATCCCCTTTAGGCAGATAGAGAGGCGAGGTTTGCAGTCGCACAGCTGGTCGTTGTAGCCTTAGATTTTAGAATGTCGTGTGATATTGGTTTTACTCCAATGTGTTGTGTGATCTTGGTTCTTCTTACCACTTTGTACGTTTCACTTCTATAAAATAAGGTAGTCGTTGAAATTTACGCAAGTAGAGTAAAATTACAAAAATATTACGCTGCATCATCATTTTCAGTAAGAGAAAAGAAAAATGAAATTGTACATGTAAAAAGCACAATCATGACATGAAACAAATTTGTGTACCACACCCTCGCATATGTCTCCCCTTCCACGGGGTCCCTAACTAATAGCAAAATAGGATGTCGGTTGTCTCATACTTTATTTGGAAGCGCCACTTTATGTCCAAATCATCTGTAACTGTTCTCATGTTCTTCTCTACTCTGCCCTGGGGATAGAGACTGGAATCTGTTCTTAAATATTGGAGAATTGATGAAGACATGCATGGCACCTATCATGGATCAGTCCTGTTCATATGAGCTAACACTGTGTGGATAAATAAAACAAATAGGTATGAAAAGATTGATAATTGTCGAGGGTCATTACCTTAGACCAATTATTAAGCTTGTATATTAAGTTGATCACCTTATATTGGATAGGCATTGCATGTGACTCTTTTCCTAAAGGCGAACCTTAAATCATTAAGCATATGTGGCACTTAGACTATGTATATATATTAGGATTGTTAGCATAGTTGTCATAATTAATATCATCATAAATGATTATCCTTTCATTTTCTGTAATTAATATCGTATGGTCTTAGACAATTATAAATATATATATATATATATAACTTTCCCTTTGTAAACACACTTAAAAATAATATATAATTTATGGGTTCATTTTTTTCTAAAGTTACTTTAGAATAATTTGCCTAATGTTCACCGAAACGATATCATTTTGAGACAAAAATTATAATATGTTTGTAATTTTAATTTATTTTAGGATTATAATAATTCTTATCATTCTAATTTTTTAATCTTTTAACCCCAAAACTACGTCGTTTTGGTGAATATTACACAAATTTTTCTAAAGTAAATTTAGAAACTTTATTGGCATAATTTATATATAAAATAAAAAAATTGCCTCTATCTCCCATAAATTTCCCCAAGGATATACTCATCCATAAGCAAAGGGAGGGTGCTAGCTAGGATACCGGTGACCCCTTTAATTTCAAAAATAAAAATAATCATTTATATATCTCAAATATATATTTTATATATGTAAATACATAACTTCATTTATTTATTATTTATTATTTTTATACCAGTAACTTAATAAGCATCTTAATATACTCCATAGATCATAACCTCAGTATAGCCACAATATATATTTCCTCATCTTTTATGTAAACCTCACCAGCCATCAACCACAATAATAACTAATTAAGAAATTGAATATAATGAAATAATATTGATAACTATTCTCCTTTTAAATAGTTTTATTTATGTATACAGTGTGCACGTTTAATTCGGAAACAGAGTGGAATAGAAAGGAAGTGAAAAATTCGTTCTTATATACAAAAAAATAAAAAAATAAAAAATAAAAATCGTTCTTTGTTACTCCATCATTGCAGTTGTTTGGTGTTGTTGGTAGATAAAATTGAAGACTCAAAAACTGTCATTCAAAGCCTGCTCATTCACTTGATTTACGGTACACTTTCATTGGTATAATATATTAATATGTTTAAGAAAGGAAAATGTGTTGTTTTTACACATAAAAATAATGTATAAATAATATTATCTTAAAAAAATAATTTTCACATGACATGAAATTATTTTAACAAAAAGCATAAGCAAATAATAAAAAAAAAACTTTTATAAAGTGAATTTGTTTCAAAAATGAGCAAAGTAAGATCGCATTTACCTTTCAATTTTTAATAAGCCAAGATTATGATACACTTTATATTAAATCAACACTTCGTACAATTTTCTTATTTACTTTCAAGACAAAGTCACTTGATAAAAACTTTATCAACAAATGACCTATTGCCGAATCTATTATTCGCTTGAAACAAGAACCAGGAGTGCTTTATTCACGTTTTTTGTAAAGCAAATTATTTTAATTTTTTAATTTTAACTTTAAAACCATAAAAGCCGATGTATTTTATACTATTGGAGAACGGTTTTTATGATTAATGGATATTTTGTATCAATACATTTAAGTTTTATATACAAGAATATATTCTTCACCATAAAGAAAGCATTTTCCAAACTCCAAGGGTAGCTAGCTTACTTGTCAACTGAGCTCCCAATGATTGTATGGTTCAGGATACAAATCCTAGATCATGCAATTTCTTTAGGACGTGTCTCTCTTTGAAGGGAAATTAATCTCATTTTTTCTCCGGTGACATAACTCAATGCATCAATTGTTCTAATAAGAAGGTAGTCTTTGTGGGCGGCTTCTAAGAATAAGATGACCGTAGGATATTATGATTTAGTCCCAGGTCTCATCATTGTTGTTATTGGCCACAAATCAACCGCGACAAATTTAGAGTTGATTTAAAACATAGGTCTAAGTCGTCTTTCCATGGATAATTAGTAAAAGAAGCTATTGCGACAAATTGCATTTCTTTGTTTTCAATTTATTTTTTATAGTAAAACTGACAACATGTCCAGGCTATAACAAATATCAAAGTGACACGGCTCATTCTATTTGCTATCATCTATGTTTCATATTTACAATCATTAGCAATAGCATTCGGCATTCACAAAATCATAACCATTCTTACAAGTGGCCATCTACTCCGATAACAGAACCAGATGCTAATGGCCTTCTTTGCGCCTACAAATTGCAATTACATTTACATGCATAAATATAGTGTCAAAATGACCAACTTATTGTTTGTGCGCTAGTTCACTCACTAAGTCAGAATTACTAGGATATGAGACTCTCAAAACATTACACCATACATAGAAGTATACCATACCATGCAAGGGAAGGTGACTAAGACAACAACATAATAGACAACAGGGAAAGGTCATGCAAACTCTTATTATCCCTTTTACCTAGCAAGTAACACCCTTGTTTCTATGCTTTTTCCTTCCAATGATTCTCTTCAAATCATCTGGTTCGCAAGGAATTGAAAGTGCTCCCATCTGAGAGAACCCGAACTCTTCTTCAGCCTGCTTTAGCAACTTCACAAAGTCAGGGTGATCCAAATATCCCAATTCAATAAAGAATCGCTCTGGTTTCCATCCTTGGGTTGTAATCACCACAAAATGGCCAGGTTTCACTCCTTTTTGACGTGAGAAGGTGGTATGCAGTTTCCTCATCATAGGCAATAGCACTCCAAAGCTTCCCTTGCAAAATTCACCAGAACCACTTATTGTTTTACCCATGCCCAGCCCAGAAGAACAAATAGTAGCCTGAACAAAGTTCCTTTTTGAAATTCCTACATGCAATAGCTGGAATATATATAGTGGTTTTTATGACCTTAAGATAAATGGCAGATGACAATGAAATTCAGACAGTAGCATGTGAGTTTTCATTAATAGTAAATGTCACTGTTTCCCCCATTTTGGGGACTAAGTTATCTGTGTCCTTGATGCATCATCTTTTAACTCACTACGTGCAAGAAGAAAACATATACACGGATCGGAGGACTAGACAAAAAGTACTACTATGGTCATTTCAAATTGCCTTCACTCAACAGGGACCCTGTATTGCTTCTTAACACATGAACGATGGTAACAGGAACTATAAAATCCTGATTATTTAGCTAGGATTGCAAGTAATTCTAAGGAGAGAAGGATAAAGACAAAAAAAAAAAAAATTGGGCCATCAATAGAGACAGGGGTTGGTGACTAGTTTAATGTATACTCGAATTGAATTTCAAACATTTTAGATATCATAGGATTAATTATTTTTAATTATAATATTAACCATCCAGAGACAACAACTTCAATGCATAATTTATTCTTAAAAAAATGAAGTAAAAGAAAACACAAGATGAAAAATTGACCAAGCATGTGGGCAAATACTTTTTTTTTTGGTTGAACTCATGTGAGCAAATATTATATCAAGGAGAATAAAGAATAACGTAGCTTTTGCCTTGCAATATGCATAAATTTTTTTTTCTCTCCCTTGGCCAAGAATATCCTCAACTATTGCTAGCAACCATCTGCTTTGACAATAGTAGATATAGGATAAGTTGTCATGATCATGATAGCGACGACTAACGAGACAGGTTTCATGAAGGATCAAACTACTGAGGTGTGTTCCTACCTTTAATATTGGTAGTTGAGCATGCATCTTATATATGGGTGTAGGGATTAATATCAGCCCAACCATTTCAATGAATGTTTGTCCACCTTAATCATTGAAGAAGATTCTAGAAGAAGGTGAAGGGTTGTCCTCACTCTATATAAACACAACAAAATCCTTGTAATAGGTTTGAAGCTTGAGAGCATTTTAAGAATACTTCTGGAGAGAAGTTCGAAGAGTAATCTGCTTAGAGAAGTTCGAGAATACCACTATTATTGGTGAAGTTTGAATCTTTGTAATCTTTCTTTCCATTGTGAAAGATTTTTTAAACTAGTGTCCTGTGATTTTTACTCGTTTGCCTTAGGGGAGGTTTTCCACATTAAAATATTGATGTGTTTCTCTCTATCTCATTTTTGCATTTTTTTTTTTGTTTTTGCGTGTTGGCCAACTTGGTGACTTCAGGCCACCTGTACGTGCCGAGCTGTGAGCTTGACATGCCCACCTATGAACTGCTTTCGCACTGGAAATTTTGCAAAAGTGAGATAATATATGTATATGCAACGCTATTCTTTAATGGGGTATGATATTCTTACACCGGTGTAAGAGTTAAAAGTCTTACACTCAATCTTGACCATTGATTCACTTGTATTCAGTGGCTCACATTATTAAAAAAATTAGAGCCTTTAAATATAAATGGGATCAACGGACAAGATTGAGAATGTAACTTACACTGGTATAAAATGATCCTGACCCTTTTTCACACGTTACTAAGCGCAAACCGAAATTTACAAATTTCCCATTAGTGTTTTGAGCATTTCTCATAAGGAAATACAAACTTCCTTCCAATCAACTCAAGTTGACGTTTGATAGAGGGTAAAACGAGAATAATAATACAAACACATCATTTTATACCTACACGATCTTTACCATCTAATTACAATTAGTTTTAGGCATTTTTTTTCTCATGTTACAAGAATTCTAGCCATTGTTTTTTTATTATGTATTTCTGAAAGTACATAATTATAATATTAAAGTTATTTTTTATAATTATGTATTTCCGAAAATACATAATTAGAAAATTATTGCTGGTTTTCTTTTAATTATGTACTTCTTAGAGTACATAGTTAAAAAATGATTGCAAGAATTTTTGCAACATGATAAATATATTTTTTTTAATTTTATCTTATTTTCTGCACACTCAGTGTAGTTTTGCCACTTACTCATGGAGCAAATATTTGGTGCACCATGTAGAGAGAAAAGAGAGGAAAGAGAGAAAAAGAAGAAAGATAGAGAAAGAGATCGTAGAATTAATTTTACTGCTCATGATGTAAGACGATGTTATCTTCTTACATATGTACAACAAGCATTTTATTTTAAACAAATACACTCTAGGAAGTACGAAGTTGCATATTACTGTATTGGGAGGAAGGCAGAGTAGTAAGTAGTAAATCCTTTTGAAAAGTCACGAAGGAGGAAGCATTAAAAAAGCAATCATTACAAACACACACTGACACACTAGTAACTAGTTGTACTTGAAATATCACAAACTGATGCTCTTTTTCTTTTTACCTGGATGCCCAAGTACGTACGTAATCCGCTGCAGCAATGTAAAAGCATTGAAGAAATCAGATGGAAGACGAAATTCATAAGAAATTATGAAGTGAATCGCATTTCGAGTGTTTGATCCATCTCAACCTAAAAACCTCCCTTCACCTAGTTGTCAATGATCTTCTATTTTCAGTAAATGCACAGAAAGTACTTTGGCTTTATTTAACCCCAAGTCCTCCAGGTTACTCCATATTTTATCAACCAAGGCAAAGAGCTGGTAAACAGCTTCAAAAACCCTGAATTCACTATTTAAAACCGAAATAGATCTTATGGTCACGTGGAAAGACCACAATCATACAAAGATGAATCACGATTATAATTTTGTAATAAATTATTTCAATATTTTTTTCTTTCTCTTCTTTTATCACCATTGATCCACCTTTATACGATTATAATTCTCCACGTGACCATGTCATTTAAAACACCAGACAGGAGCAGAACAAACAAATTTTAGGCAATTTGAGGCTCGGACAGAAGAAAAAAAATTGTTTTATTTCAATCCATAACTTCAACCCTTTAGGGGAAATAGTGATACAGTGCAAAGAACCACTTTAAAGTCCACCATCATCAATAATGTGAACTGTGAAATATAAACCACAGAGCACCTCCTGCAAACTGTTTAAAATTCCTTTAGCAGTGATATAATATGTCCACTCTAATTATAAGCAGCCACCATTGTCAATGCAGTATCACAAACTCCAAAAATACCCAAACTGCCTTCGATATTTTACTATTACAACCATCAACGATCTTGCTTTCTTTTTGTGACCAAGTGGATGCCCTAAAATCTCGCATGAATCCTATATGGTAGTTTGTGGTGGTGCCATACTGCCATGTCAGACGGTACTAAGTGATGTAGACTATAAAGTGCAAACCCGTTTAAAAAAGGCCTCATCTTGTCAAAATTAAAGTACTTTTATGTTAAAGTTTGAATAGAAGGCAGAAGGCTAGTCTACCCAAAATCAACATCAACAAACACATTTATTAGGAAATACTAAGACCTTTTTTTAACACCAGATTCTTTCTAGAAGCCAAAACAGAGGTTTTACACGATTCCTACTTCCTGTCAAATACTTGATGTATGTATGGATTATTAGATAAAAATTATAATGATAACATCACCAGCATACTTTCAATCCAGTTGCAGTCCATCCCATTTGGTTTTCTTTTTACTTTTTGGGAGAGTGGGGAAGGGGAAGGAGAATGCACAAGGATAAAATTCTTCAAATAATTATAAACATATGAGGATTTTTCTGGAGGCTATGGCCATCAGAAGATATTTAAGGTGCACAGCTAGAATATAGGACAAAATTTACATGAAGGATGGTACGTAAAAGTCATGCTCTGAAATTTTTTACCCCGAGACCGTTAAAATCTTCCTGCTATCGTAATTCACCATTCCAGAAATTAATCCCTGCATAGGTGAAACACCAAAATTAATGTAATATTTCGGTTTCTTTTCAACTAACATCTGCGTGAAATTTAGGTCCGGGGATTTGTATCATAACTTGCCACAACAATACAGAACTAACGATCTTTATCCAATTGACGCTAAAATTATTGAGAGGACATAATTTTATCTTACATAAATTATTTCAACAATACGTACACTTTCATGAAATATACACAAGAAATTAAAACATATAATAATACATAATTAAAGCGTACCATACGAAAATATATGAATGTAATAACTGAAAGTTCGAACCCGGTGTTAAACATTATGTTCTTAAGAAATTTTGTCCTTTTTTATGGTGCCCAAGATTCGTGAACAAATGTCTCCCGGGATAAAACGAATTATCTCTACTTTTTGTAGCTACACTTTCACACTGAATAGTCTCATCAAACTCAACTTATATCTGACTAATCGCACTAGAGTAATGGAATGCAAATGTAAATGCAACGGGACAAAACTCTATTAAAATTCTGATTCTCTATTTATTAATAAAAAGCGTAAGGTCACGATTCAAAAGATATTTATTCGACGACGAAACAACACATCTATCTGACACAGGAATACACATCTCTTCGAGGACAAAAAGACACATATTTTCCATATCAAATTTCTTATTCATAAACGGAAGTAATTCAAAATTAATTCCAACGTGATCAAACTAAAAGTATAAATAATAATAATAAAAATCAATATATTGATAAGCAAACAAGATATTCCACTGACAACCAGGTATTTCCAAGTTAATCAGAATAATATGTTTCAAAATAGGGATTAAAATTAGGGGAAAATACGTTTCCTTTTAAAAAAATAAAATCGTGCCATTTTAAAAGAAACAAATCATGTAGGAGAAAGAGTAAAAAAAATTTCTCTCCTCTTCACATGATGTATCTTTTCTTCCTCTTCTCCTTTCAAACATACACATTTTTCCCTTACAATTAACCACAAGTAACTAGGCGAGGGTTTAGAATGTTGGAAACATGATTTTACGTTGGAGAACAAAAGAGTGCACATACACGTTTACGGGAGAGAGAAGCAACTTCTGTTTTTCTTAACATCGATGGATCAAAACACGCGAGGGTTGACCCTGTCAGTCTGTCACCACCGCATCTCCTGCACATGCCAAACCCATTAAAAAATAAATAAATAGAAGAAGAAGCATGATTCACCTCAATTTATAAATAATAACCAATAAGAAAAATGGAGTACTACACCGTTTTGGGGGGGAATAAAAGGAGTGAGAATCAGTAGGAGAAAAGGTCGACAATAAGGTGAACAAGGTTGGCGCAGAGAAAGAAGAGGAAAAGGAGAAAGAAGAAAACGAGGGCAAAGCGTAAGAAGAAGATGAGAAGAAGAAGGGTGAGGATGATAGAAATGGGATTGTCTAGAAACACCACCAACATAATTGCTTCAATGCTAGCGCTTCCCAAATGTGACAAATAAAACTCCATCCTATAATTGATTCGATTGCACTTGCGTCAACTGTGTCTGTGTGCGTGTGCAAGTGCAAGAAAACTACCTTCTTGACTTTTGCATCGCAGACCTGTGCTGTTAATTTCTACAAAAATAAATGGCACCAAATAACTCTCTCCACGTGTATTTAATTGACAGGGAATAAACACCAAACTCTTTTTTAAAAGTGAAATTTTATTTGATTCTCATTGATTTAATTATATTGGGCTTTTCTTACTCTTCACTGTTCTATTTGTATCATGTTGTATCCCTGGTTATGGCCACTGGGTATTGGGCTTTACCGCTATAGGCTTGGTGTAAATTTGGATTATAGCTTCCATTTTGTGGCCCAAGAAAAGAGAGGGAATAAAATAAAATCGAAGCCTACATTACAGCCTTCGTATACTATTGTTGCTGTTGGGATTGAGCTTCTTGTATGTATGGCACTACACCCACTGTGATGCTTGAACAAAAAAATTATCAGACTGTCACGTTAACAGTAAATTTTGTCAAAATATCACGTGGCATAATTCGCTACACAGTGTAGCGAATTATGCATGCAAGTAATTTGCTACACCGTGTAGCGAAATATGTCACGTTAGAATGCACAGAACCAAAAATGTCACATGTCAAATTTTGAAAAATTCGCTACCCTGTGTAGCGAATTTCTCAAAATTTGACATGTGGCATTTTTGGTTCTGACGTGGCATATTTCGCTACACTGTGTAGCGAATTATGTCGCGTGGTATTTTGACAAAATTTACTGTTAGTGTGCCAGTCTGGTAATTTTTTTGTTCAAACATGACAAAATGATCATTGTTCCCAATAATTTAAAGTCCACGTCCAGTCAAGAAAGCGGGACCATTTCTTATAATTTATTTACGGAAAAATAATTTTCATTTAAACTCAATCGGGAACGTAAATTTATCCAATTTTAAAGAGGAAATAAGTTATTATTTTATAAAGTTTTGAGTGCAAGATTATTTACGGCCAAAAAAGCCCAAAAATATGAACTTTTCTTGTCTGACATTGAAATGTAAGACATATTCAGTCTATTTCTGGAAGGTTTATCCATTCCTATTCAACGTAGTTGACATCGTCATTCTTGTTTTACAATACATACTGTCACTGTAGTACCTGCTACATACCTACTGCAAGGCTACATACTACATACAATTCTTGGGTCGTCAAATTCAGACAGGGGAAAACAAGCCATTGAAAATTTGGGATTCTGATTCCAAATCTTATCCATACTGCCCCATAAAAGTCAAAAAATGATACAAACTGTTGTCTTTTTTTCTCATCAAAAATTAGGGAATAAGTCAAAAGAAGCAGTGCCCATAAAATCAGGCACACTTCACTGTCTCTAACGAACGGAGATTGAATTGTGGCCAAAGTTGGATAATAAATTTTTTAGTTCAATGCACGTATTTTGAACCATAAGAGTATTGGGCCTACTAAGAATTCTGAATCTCACTCTTTTGACTTTGGGCTATGGTGGAGAATGTGGAGATTTTCAACGGAAAGGGAAAAACACGGAGTTGAAAAGTAAAATCAACAATGTCTTGTTTAGTAATTAATAAGGACTGTTTTCACTTTTCAAGGTTATTTATGAATTGATATAATCAAATAAAACCACAACAATTGAACCCAAAAAAATTGATTTTTTTAGTAAATTATATTTTTTTATTTTTAAAACTGATCCAATTTAAATTGAATATATAACCACTTTATATAAGGTTATCTACAGCTATCCAAAAATTACGTCGTTCACCCTTCATTAATTCACCTAATATTACAGAAACACCCTTCATTAATCAAAATAACGTAGCTTTTGGGATAGCTGTAGAAAACCTTATCAAAAGTGGATGTAGAAATATTTTTTTCCAAATATATATATAGGGTTCGTTTTTCTTCATTGAATATAGATAAGTTATCTATATTCAGCCCAAATCGACGTCGTTTTGGGACATATATCAAGTTATTTTTGTAATTATAATTTATTTCAGGTTATAATAGTCTTTCTTATTATAATTTTTTAATTTTTCAACCCAAAATGACGTCGTTTTGGGAGTGAATGTAAATAACTCATCTACATTCACTGTAGAAACATTAAAGTCATAAATATATATGACATCCCAATTTTATTTTATCAAATATGTAGTTTCCAAGTAGGGGTGTTAACGAGCTGAGCCAAGCTTTGGTCTTAAAAGGATAAGTCTGTATTTAAATGTGTCAACCTGACCAAGCATGTTTCCTGTTATAAATATAATCATCTGTTTGTGGCCTGACTTATTTACAAAAAATAAAAGCCTAATTTATCCTGTTTAAAAAAATAAGACAACAAAAATTTATCCAAATAGACTATACAATCAACAACATTAGTAATTTCATAAATATTCATAAATTCAATGTATATCCAAACAGCATAATATTGAACAAAATTATTCAAAAAGTCTGTTTAACCAATAAAATGGGATGAAATGGATTGAAGAGAGAAAGAAGACTATTACAAGTAGTATAAAAAATAAAAAATAAAATAAAATAATAATATATTAGGTCAGCCTGAGAGGCTCTAAGGCCGAGCTCTTGAATTGAAGTTTGATGCCTTTTTATTAAACGACATTTTATACAAATTTAAACATGCTGCCAACAATTAATTTTGGACATGTAAACTCATACATTCACAAGCCAAGTTAAACGCCCCTTTTTAACACCCCTATTTCCAAGTTACTCTTCATGGTTGTTAATTATTAATTTTTCATGTAACAACAATGTCACCAAGACATGTTAATTAACATAATAAATCAATGGGATAAAAGTAATATCAGCCAACATCAATTAAGTATGAACACGACCAGCTACCATTACAATACATCGATCAAAATGACTGCGGAGGCCGAAATGGGCGAAGAGTACGATAACAAAAGTACAAAACCACCACATAAGTTTATATTTCATCTGAAAAAAATAAAAAAGAAACAGTGATCAATGGATGAAGAGACCTTAGATTGGAGACGTGTTAAAGAGGAAAGGCCTGCTCGTGGCGTGCAAATTACAACTCCAACACGGCGCCGCGTGTCGATGACTTGTAATGGGACCCATCGAATCCAAAGCTTGTCTGGTGGTTGCTAGGCGTAACCCAATTTTTATTCAGTAAAAAAATAAAAAATAAAAAATAAAAATATCCACTACACTACCCCCTCCTGCTCCCACCTCGCAAAGTCCTTAACCATTTCATCTAGAACATTCCAAAGCCTAATTAAACCTTTTTCAGACTCAAACCTACCAATATTAACATTCCAATTTTGTGACACCGTAGTATCCACGTGGACACACATGATCCATGATGTATGCCGATGCCAAAAAAAAAACCTATGGCCATGAATGTATCATGCACACAAATGCCCCCATGAAATTATCTAGAAAAAGCAGACATTTTTCCGGGGTGTCACTATCACGGCCGAGTCATTAATGGGGACCTCACTCATGAATCATTTTCCCTCGTCTCAAACAACAGAACACCGTTTCCATTTGTATCTTGTATTTCTCAGACATGCCGTCGGCAAAATCTCCTTTAGTAATAAACTTCATTTATCTCAGTAGTTCGTACAAGTCAAAACAGTAATGAGATCGATTTTTAGAGTCTCAATTTTTGAAAAGGGTAGAGAAGTAGAAATTCAAAACTATTAGTCGGACATTGACATGGGTTAAAACCATATATTTATTGTGTGTGTAAAAAAAAATATTCTTATCTCATACGACAAATCTTTAACCCTATTAATATTTGGGAAATCATTTTCTTATGCTACATGAGAGAATCTAACCCTATTAATTATCTCATGTAGCATAGACAATATTATAGATGGGACCCACAAAACAAGAAGAAAGAGAAAAATAGAGATGGGATCCACTTCGATTTTGTGTGTGTAGGAATTTAACTTTTCTCAGGTGAAATGAGAGAAATATAACCCTTAATATTTACCCAATTTTTTTTCTTCTAAAAATTTGTGGGTCAACTGTTTGGGCAGCTGCTTGCCTTCGTACCAAATCATACTAATATAATGTGTTTTGATCACCTAAACCATGATTCTATTGTACCAAAACAACTCTTCTTTTTAAATAGTAACGATAGAAGTTAGGAATTCAAATTAATGGGAACAAATAGTGGGCTATATTTCAAGCAATTAATATCCGTTGCACTATATTTTTTATAAACTCATGCTAAAACAGGATAGGATGAATTTAAATCAGTGTAAGAATAATAAATCTTACATTAAATTTTAATTGTAGATTTTTGTACATCTAACAATTGAAATTTATTGAGAATTAATGAGTAAAATTCATTAAATCTTAACCGTTAGATGCACGTAATTCAACGGTTAAGATCTGATGTAAGACTTATTATTATGATACTGATGTAAGATGATCTTGTCCCTTTTAATATTAATAGATAGATATAGCACTTTTATGAACCTAAATATGAAAACTTAAACTCAGGGTAAATGCACCATTAATCGTGTTATACGATATTATTTGTGATTAACTATCACCATGACAAAACCCTCCCCAGATTAATTGGTTTCCAAGAGAAAGGCTATAAAAACTATAATTCTAATATATCATAATTGTATATGTATCATTCAGTTGCCAAAACACAAGGCCGTGGTAATTAGACTCTGGCGTCTGTGAAATACATCGGTAATAAAATACTCCTGAAATATAAACATATTGATTTTAGCAATTGCTATCACAATCCTCACATACGATTATAATAACGGTAAAGATAATGTAATTTATTCGCAGAATGATGTGCGGATAAAAATAAAGTATACCTAAAAGACGAGACTTGGCATTAAAATACAATATCGTTGAGAAAAAACAAATAAGCGATAACATTGGTATAATACATTTGTTAATTAACCTTACATTACATATTCCGAATATTTTAATTTTTGAATTTAGTATTTTACCCCCTTTAGATTTATTTCAATCAACATTTGAGTTATAACGTTTCAAAATGAATACTGTTCCACGA